CTTCCTTCCTTCCTTCCTTCCTTCCTTCCTTCCTTCCTTCCTTCCTTCCTTTCCTCACTCATTCAACAAATATTCACTGCCTTCGGGTAAGCACCATAACACTCTGCCCTGCTCTCTTGGGTACCGGCTCTTCTCTGAGACCTCCCCTGAGCACATGAGTCCTTACTGCCATTCCTCTCCTTTTCACACGGGTTGCACCTGGAAGGCACAGTTACTGCCCCAGTCTCTTCCTGCTATGCTCTTTCCAAGTGGTCTCCAATGACAAGTTGCTTTTCTTTCCACAGTAAGAGCATCAGACTGTCTAACAGTAGCTGCCATCAGTTAAGACTTGCTGAGTGGGACCAGGAGAGCCTCCCATTAGAGGTGAAAGTCTGCACACCCCAGGGTGTAGGTGATGACTCTGACAGTGCTCTGGGCAGCCGAGGGACAGAAAGGCCCTGAGTGCTGAGCAGACGGTGTCCATCCCAGCAGACCACCGTGGGCCAGTCCTACTAGGACAACCCAAGCATCGAAAAGGGACAAAATGTCAGGGCTCCTGGGGGGCTCATTTAACCCCCTTCTTTTGATTTCAGCTCAGGTCCATGATCTCAGGGTCCTGAGATTGAGCCCCGCCTTGGGCTTGCACTGGGCATGGAGCCTGCTTAAGATTCTCTCTCTCCCTCTGCCCCTCCCCATCTTTAAATTAAAAAATTATTAAAAAAAAAAAAAAAAAAAAAAAAAAGACAAAATGTGTGTCCAGTTTGCGCTGACAAAATAACAAAATTGAGGAATTCCCTGGTGGGCAGTTTCCGGTTTCGAGGCAGGGCAGGCGGCCCTACCAGTCTCCATCAGAGCTTCCCCGCTCTTCTGATAATGCCATCGGAACCAGGGAAAGAGCAACTCTGTAATAAATGTCTGTTATTTATTTACCCTGGCTACCAGAGTTGGTCTCTCGTTTGGCAGGGTCAGGGTGATGTGGGCAAGCTGGGACTTGCTGTGACATTTTCCATGTGAGACTTGCTTTACAAGAGGGGCTGGAGGTCTGCCTCAACACTTTCTGTGCAAAGACGGAGAGGGGCAGGACCCAGTGTGGATCAAACAGCCACTCTCGCACATTGTCCGTGGCAGGGGATATCCGTATGGCCTCTGTGGGGGTGAATGTGGCATCTACTGAAATTCAGATGGGCAGAGCTAGGATTTTGGCCCCAGGGTCTGGGCTCTCCACTAATTCTGTATAGTGCCCTAACCGTTATGCTACACCAGTGGAGAAAATCTGACTTGTCCACGGGAAGGTGGGCGTGATAGGCGGGGTAACGGCCCCCAAAGATGTTCCCGTTCCAATCCCTAGAACCCGTGAATATGCTAGTTCACAGGGCAGAAGGGGCTTAGCAGCTGTGATTAAGTTAACGATCTTGACCTGGGGAGACTAGCTGAGTTATCTAAGTGGACCCAATGTAACCACCGAGTCCTTGTAAGAGGGAGGCAAAAAAGTTGCATCAAGGGAGCGGGATGGGACGTTTTTACTTTCTGCTTTATACTCTTCTGTATTTATTGAATTTTTGTTTGTTTTGTCTTGTGCAATAAGCCTGTACTACACCTACAGTGAAGAAAATAATGAAGATATTCCTGCTTTGAGGAAACCCATCTGCAGACATCTTTGGCTTCATCCCTTTCCACACTCTGTCAAGATCTCATCAGCAACTCTTGTGTCCAAAACAGTGTCTGCTTGATCTTGGAGGATGTGCTCAGGCTGTCCCCGTGCTGGCCCAGACCTCCCCCTCCACCAACCAGGCTTCCTCCTCTCGATTTTTAGGACATACAGAGAAGCCACCTTCTCTAAGAGGTGCTTCTTGATGATTCTGAACTGTGATGCTCCCCCAGAGACTCTGGTACTGTAGACATATCCTTGTTCCCCTCCCAATACTCATACGGTCTCTGTGGGCTTCTCTCACCCACCTGGCTTCTGCCCTGGACCGTAACGCTCTCTGTGCAGAGCAACTTTTGGGATCTACGCTGCGGAGCCCCTAGCTCTTCCTAATACTGTCTGGGCTGTTTCATGAGCATTTAATATATATTTGTTGTTCCTGCCAACCCAGACACATAAAGGTATGCACCTCGAATAGAGATTTGAAACCTCAAACAATCTCACAGTAAAGCTTCTAACCTGGCCCACCTCAGGTGGCATGTAATCTGTCTTCTCCCTTGCCCTAAGCTTGTGAACAAATGTGGGAAAATGAGCAAAGAGTTTTGACGGGCTTAGTTGGTGGAACAGCTGCGTACTACAAAGAAGTGGGCAAAATGACACGGACATGGTACCACCACAGCAACCCGAGATGTGTTAACCTTGCTACAGCTTCAGAAGATCGAAATTGAATGAGACCTTAGAAATCCTCAGTCCCGCCTCCTGCCCAGTGCAGGAATCCATTCTAAATCCTGCCTGACATGTGGTCTACTCTTTTATTTTTTTAATTTAAATTGAGGTGTAATTGACATACAATATTATATTAGTTTCAGGTGTAGAGCATAGTGATTCTACCTTTGTATACATTGTGAAATGCTCAGCTCGGTGAAGTCTCGTCACCATCTGCCACACACACAAAATTAATACAATATTATTGACTCTATTCCTCATGCGGTATATGACACCCCCATGGCTTATTTATTTTATGACTGGAAATTTATACTTCCCTTTATGCATTCGCACCCCCTCCCCCTGCACCCCTCTGGCAACCGCCAATCTGTTCTCTGTACTTACTGAGTCTGGGTTTTGCTTTGTTTTGTTTGCTTTTTTTTTGGATTTCACATGTAAGTGAAATCATATGGTATTTGTCTTTCTCTGTTTGACTTATTTCACTTAACATAATACCCTCAAGGTCCACCCGTGTTGGTGCAAGTTGCAAGATTTCATTCTTTTTTATGGTTGAGTAGTATTCCATTGTGTATGTATATATGTGATCTGATATTTTAATAGTGGCTTAGATAACTTGGATTGATTCACCTGGTGATAAACTGACTCTAGACAAATATTTCTATTGGTTAGGAATGATTTCTGCACCTTCTACCATCCCCCCCCCCCCCCCCCCCCCCCCCCCCCGCATATCCCCCAGGGAGGGTCATTCCCTGCACTCTAACAGATTATCTTAAATACTTTTACTTTGTATTGGATTAGGGATGCCAGAGGCTCTGGGTGAATAAGCCTCCCCTTTACAAGGGCCTGAGAAATCCATTAGCTTTTCAAATCTAAATCACTTGAGCTCTGTTTTTACCTCAAGGCCTGAACGCTGCCACAGGGAAGCTGGGGTAGTGTAGTGGGTGTAATTCCAGAGGTTGTTAGCAAATGTGGATTCCAGGCTTGGATTTACCCTGACTGGATGCCTTTCAGCACATCACTTTACCTCTCTGGCCTCAGAACCCCAATAGTAAAATGAGGGGGCTGGGGTGGAGATCTCCAGAACCTCTCCTAGCTCTGACAGGCTGAGGCTGGCTAGAATACTGGGGTCAGAAGCCGTGAACACAGTGGAAGATGTGACCCCCAGAGCACCAGCAGCAGCACCATCTGGCCCTCTTTAAATGCCAACTCCTCCCCTACCTCGAACGAGGAATCAGACACGGGGTGCTGGGGGGGCCAGCCATCTGTGTTTTAACAAGCCTTCCAGGTGATTCTGACACTCCCTGAAGTGTGAGAACAGCTAGATTCTTGTGATTCTCAAAGGGCCACATGTAGTCCTACCTGACTCAGCAGGAGGAATGGTTCTGTATCTCGCTCATTTCGTCTTAGTTTCTTGGGTCAAACAATGAGTATGAAGAAATAGGATGAGTCAAGTTTCTACCTCCCCCCTCCCCCCCCCATATACAGATGGCAAAATGGTCAACCTGACTCAGCAGGCTCTCCTGTCCTCACGACAGCCAATGAGGTGGGCACAGCAGAGCTTAACCCTCCTGGGGAGGGGACGCCACTTGTCCTGCTCACACACGCAGACAGCCGGGGGCCCACACTGGAACCGCGGCCCCAGGGCCTCACACAGTCCCTTTGTACTGTGTGGACTGATCCTATAGTTATGAGCAACCCTCCCGCCAGTGCACGGAATACTCACCACAGGCAAGAGCCAGGATGTGCGTTTGCCAGGTGAGAGCCATGAACATTCCTCCAATTGCAATGCAGGCCAGAGAACTGTTGAAACCCCAGAGTCCAAGGTAGATGTTCTCAAATGGTGCCGAAACACTGAGTCCTATTAGATGAGACAGGCGAAGTCAGGGCTGGGCACCAAAGGCAGGACACTCTGGAAGGAGGCCAGGGGTGGGGGAAGCTAGTCCCATTGGTCCCTTGGAAGCAGAGCCCTCAAGAAAGTCTGGCGTTTGGAAGATGCCTGAGGGAAGGCACGCGGGGCAGGAGCTGCTCGACGTTTGCTCACCTGCCGCTATCCCCAGCAGCGATCCGATGGCAGCATGCAGGCACATGAGTGGGGAGGAGAGCAGAAGGGCGACCAGGAAAATGCCCCCTGTCCACGGGTTATCACAGCCATAGATCTGGCCCACACCCACGGGCAGCGATTTCAATAACTGCAAAGCGATTTAGAAAATGAGCTCATTAACACAACTGAGCAGAAAGCCGCGGGACCCCCACAAGCACGTACCGTGTAATGTTAGAGTTAGCGTCTCTCGTCTTCTGAGGTCAGTGTTACTTATTTTTGTAAAAGTCTCTTTCTCTTGACAGAGAAATCTCGTTCTTCTGCTTTATCCCAAGAGATAGACCCACCCTTCCCTGTCGAATGCTGAGCCTGCCTTCTCAGAATTCCCCTTTGCTCGTGGGCTCTGCTGAGCGCACGGCCACTTGGCTTTGGTGGCTGATAGGCTCCCGGGTGGTCCCACTACCCCCCACCCCCCGCGGCGAGGACCAGCCGCGTCTCCCAGTGAGGATGGCAGGGACCACGGCTGACATTTCTGCTGCTCTTAACTGTCCATCGGTACTCAGGCTAACATGTCAGTGCACACCAAGGTCAAGAGAAGTATTATTACTTTCGTGGAATTGGGTTGTTAAGGCCAGAGACCCAGAGCTGGGTTATCTTATCCACAATTCAGAAGCAATTATGGGCAAGTTCAGGAATCAGGACCCTATTTATACTTAACTAGAACATGTATTAATTTTTTTAAATTTTATTTTATTATGTTAATCACCATACATTACATCATTAGTTTTTGATGTGTTCCACGATTCATTGTTTGCGTGTAACACCCAGTGCTCCATTCAGTACGTGCCCTCTTTAATACCCATCACCAGGCTAACCCATCCCCCTACCCCCCTCCCCTCTAGAACCCTCAGTTTGTTTCTCAGAGTCCATGGTCTCTCATGGTTCGTCTCCCCTTCTGATTTCCCCCCCCTTCATTTTTCCCTTCCTACTATCTTCTTCTTCCTCTTCTTTTTTTAAAACATATAATGTATTATTTGTTTCAGAGGTACAAGTCTATGATTCATCAGTCTTACACAATTCACATGGGGGAGGGTATGTGCTATGGTGAGTGCTGTGAATTGAGCTGAGGAATCACAGAACATGTATTAATTTAAGCCAGAATATCCTTGGCTCCTTCCACTTACCAACAACTGCCAGTTAGTCCTCAAAACACAAAACTACATGTGAATGTCACAGTTCCCTGTTCTGGCTGAGGCCTGATGTCAGCTAATGTGCTCAACAGAATGGCAGTTTTCGGGAAGGTACAGGGTTTGATTGAAGCTAACAGACAATAATTCTTTATAATGGCACTTCTGGTCGGGCCAGGAGAGGCATAATTAGCCACATTAGGCTCCTTTGTGACCAAGTCCATTTACTTGCCCCACATCACATGTACATCTTTTGAGCGACCTTGGGGAGGCAGTGACTCTGCTACAGGGGACCCTGCTGTGGCACAAGGAACTGCCCCCTCCCCTCATGCATTAGGCGGGATCTAACACCGGCTTGCAAACCCTGCTCTGGTCCTTGTGCAGAGCACAGGACCGGACTGTGAGTTTGATTCTATCCTAAGATGGACCCTGAATTTTCCAGCTCACAGTGGATCTTCATGTCTACACAAGATCGTTTCCTGTTTGTCTAGACCGGGGAACTTGACACAGGCAAAGACTGCATAGGCTTCCCCTCAGAAGTGATGGCAGAACTACCCCTCAGGGAGCCAGGGAGGCGGGGAGTTGGGCGAGTTGGGAAAGAAGGGTGCTGATGTTGGGGTGGTAGCTCAGAGTGAGGAGAAGACCCTTACTTCCGCAGATCAGTACCGTCCAACAGAACTTCCATGGTGGCGAATATTCTGTATGTGGCCACTGAGTGCCTGAAGTGTGGCTAGTAAGGCTAAGAAACTGAATTTTTAATTCTATTTCATTGTAGTGAATTTCACATTTAAGTTAAAATAGCCACGTGGGGCCGAATAGCTACTGTATTGGACAGGGCAGTTTTAGATCAATTAACACTATAATATTGTTTTTTGTGGGTAGTTCGAATAAGCATTTGATTTTCTAAGTTATTTCCAAAAGCTCCCATTTATTTTCTGGGCAAGAATGTAAAGAAAAGCCTGCCTGAGCTCCTCACGCATTTCGATGGCTCAGCAAAGCGGACAGCAAAAGGGGTTATGTGACCTGAGAGTGGGAAAGCCAGCCTTTTGCACATCAAAAAAGGTGCTTTTGGTTTGTTTGTTTTCCTCTGATTTTAAGCATCCTCTTAGTCAAGAAACCTTCAACAGAGTTATTAAATAAACACCAACAGGAGTGAACCAGGTTTTTTAAAAACGGCAATTCTCTCTGCACACCTGTAAAGAGATACATGCAATACATCCTATGATAGTGGTTCTCAAACCCTGGTCCACATCACCATTATTTGGGCAGCTTGTTAATACAGGTTCCTAGGCCCCCTCCCCAGAGATTATGATTTGGGGAGTCTGAGATGGAGCTTGTATTGGTATTTAAAAACAATGATTCTGATGGCGACCAAAGCTTGAGAACCATGAATTATTGTACATATTCTTTGAGATCTACCCAAAGAAAAAGCAGAATACAGAGGTTCTTTAATGAGACCGAGCAGTAAACTGCCAGCTCTTTTGATCAGAGGAGGCAGGTCATGGAGGGCTTAACTCCAGGCTGGAGGCCCTTCCTCAAGGGCTGGCCCCCATCCCATCCACCCAAAGAAGGGGCAAGTTTGAAACAGAGTCTTTGATTTCCAATGGACCTATACTCTGGACTGGATTTTAGAAAAAGAGGGGGAATCTTAGCTTTGAGCAGTCATTTAAAAAACTCTTTAGAACAAAGAAAAAAAAAAAAGATAAAAAACCAGACCCTTAACTACAGAGAACAAACTGATGGTTACCAGAGGGGGATGAGTGGGGGGATGGGTGAAGTCGGTGAAGGGGATTAAGAATATCGTGATGAGCACTGAGTAATGTACAGAATTGTTGAATTATTATATTGTACACCTGAAACTAATAGAACACTGTATGTTAACTATACTTCAATGATAATAATAAACAAACCCTTAGAGCCCAAAGCTTTGGAGTAGAACAAATGGTTAAGGGGGCAAGGTGAAGACAGCAAGCCGAGTCTCCATCAGGCTCTGATGCCCAAGAACAATTAAACAGGAGGACACTGAGTGTCTTCCAGAGTCAGGAAGGAATGCAAGAAGACAGCATATCTTACCTGCAGGGCACTGAGGTCAGGCCAGGTGATATTGGGAACCGCGGTTACAGGTTTGAACAATTTGCCTGGGAAGAATGGATTGTAATGTCCTGTGGCCGATAAGTACATTGATAATGCCATGTTGAAGGGCAGCGTGAAGACGGGGAGGTCCCATTTGCAGAACAAGGAGTTCAACGCACTTGAGAAAATTGGACTAATAACAACAACAACCACAAAACAGAATGGAAGAACATGCATGTGACAAGTCATTTGACAAACTGAATCTCTACACTGTGGAGAGGCTTTGTTTCATGGGCAAAATGCTAACATGCTGTTGTTTCAGCAAACTTTTCACAGGGGGAAAAAGAAAGAAAACCAAAAAACCCAAACTGAAACAAAAAAACAAACACGCGTAGAATAAATCCTGTCAGAGAATAATTCTTACATAAAGTCAAAAATCAACTCTTAGCTTATTTGGCTTTTGAAAAATTATACTCGGGTTGCTCACGGAGACTTATGAAATCTAGGTTTTAGAAATATTTTTGAAGTATTTTAGACATGAAGTAAAATACTATGCACACAGTTAGAGGCCCCTGTGTAACTTAGTTGATCATGGTACATGATCATGAGCCCCTCCCTCCTGACCAGAGGCAACCGCCATCTTGAATTTCTGTATCATCTTCATGAGTCTTTAGTATATCTATTTTTGAAAAAGAGAAACAATTATCCAAGGGAGGATGTAAGGTGGTGTGGGCTGGAGGAAAAAGATCTTAAACTCGGGGTGGGAGGGGGAGCAGGAAGGGGAGGAACCGCTTTAAGTCAGGAACGGTTGGTGAACTATGTGACCTTTGGCAAGGAACTACTCCCCCATTTCCTGGTCTGTAGCCTGGGGGACTGGATTAGATTAGATTAGATTGTCTCTGGCCCCCTTTTGGGCTCTCACTTGTTAGCCCATCACTAAGGTCAGAACTCCAGATTATGGGAGGGGGTGTGGGGAGTCCCTGCTGATGACCCACCTCCTGTCCTTGAGCCTGTTTTTCGGAAATTACTTCCTGCTCAGATTGGCTCTGCCTGCGGACTCTCTCCCACAACCCTGTGGATGCAGGTGGTGGTGGGGGGGGTGTCCTGGAGACCTTGTCCAGAGCGGGCCACACTACTCATTCATGTGGGTATTCGTGTTTTATATCCTAAATGTGCCATAGTAAGAAGGAAATGTATGCTTCCAAAAAACAAACAAAAAAAGGACTTAAGAAACTAATTTGAAGGATTTAGTTTAAAAAAATCCTTTTTTTGGAAGGATTTTTTTGAATTCAGTAATGAAATTCTTTGAAGGCAGCAGGGACAGGTGGATAAGGAGAGTTCATATAGGCACATACAGTGGTTCTCAAAGTGTCACTGGATCAGCCGCCTCACCTGGGAACTGGTCGGAAATGCAGATTCTTAGGCTTCATCCTGGATGGACTGAATCAGAAGTCCTAGGGAGGGGGGGGCCGCAGGCTGTGTTTTCACAAGCCCTGCTGGTGATTCGGTAGTGTGCACGGTGGAGGACCGCTGATGGAGGGCATGGTTCTCAAATTTGGTTGTACTTTAGAAACCCCTGCAAGCCTTTAAAACTCCCAGTGCCCAGGCAACACCCCAGACCAATTACATCAGAGTCTCGGGGGATGAGGGCGGGGATGAGGTGTGTACGGAAGGTCACACGCATCAGTGTGTTTGATGCTTCCTGTTTCCAATAGACATAGCCCGAATCTAAATTTTAAAAAATTATTTTGCTAAAAATTGTTAGACATATGTACCATAAAACTGACCATGTTCACCATGTTAAAGTCTGCAGTTTCACTTGCATTCAGTTCATTCACATTGTTGTCTAACCATCACTGCTGTCCATTCCTAGAACATTCTTCATCTTGCAAAACTGAAACTCTGTACCCATTAAACAGTAACTCTCCCTTCCCTCCTCCCCCCACATATTTTCTTTTAAAAGGTATTTTGGAAAACCAGGTACAACTTACCAAGTCATGGACATAGCAGACACAGGGAATAACAGCCACCAGAAATAGTTGCCCTTGTCTGAAAACACAGCCATGAGGATCCCCAGCAGCGTGGCATTGTAGCCCTGGAGTCCTGCAGCGATTGCTGACCTGCGGGCGAGAGGCACAGTGTGGACACGTCCTGGGTGGATGTTGGCTGGACTTGCACATAAATGATTCTTGCAACTTTCAGATCGTATTTGCATTAGAAAATGAGATTATATTTAGAAATTTATTCCAAAGTCTATAAAAGCCAAACACTATTAAAATCATGGGAGAAAATGAAATATACATAGATAAGGATAAAATAGAAATGTGCATATAGAACAACCCCCTTCAGGGGTGTCCTAGCAAGACAGGATTCCAGCATCCAGGGGCAGAAAGGGAAATGAGCGAGGCAGCTCGTTCTGCTTCCTTTAGCCTTTCCTTCAGAAAGTTATTTCTCCTGTGTCATTAAGGGCCTTTCATCTGAACAGAGTTCTTCCATGAAGCTGTTCTCTAAGTCTGACATTCTTGGTGAGAGGTGTAAGATTGTCCAACCGTAAATTCACTTTCGTAGTGTTTGTGACCTTAAAAACATTAATCTTCCAACGTAGCATACATTTTCATCTTCCTGTGCTTCCATTTTGGGGTCTCCAAATACACATTTCCAAGTTATTTCAAAGAAAAACAATTACTTTAACTGGGCAGAGTATTCCATTTATGTGCATATTTAGCACCGAATTCATTCTTGGGTTCCTTTTTGCTTCTCAGCCTTCTGAAGGTTGACCTATTGTCTTCCTTAACTAATCTTTTGGGACATGTAGGAATTGACGGGATTTTTGCTGGTTTAACCCTGGAAGTGATACTCTCTTCTAGAATTTGGGAATATACGTGAGGACAGTGGACAGCTAGGCAAAGACTCGCCTTCTCAACAAGGGACTTGCAGGTTGAATGCTTGGCCGCCATTGCTTTAATGGCAACGTCAGCAAGTTGTGGAACACCAGAGTTAAAACAACAGAAGCTGTGTATTCACTTAAAACAGGATTGCTATTTTAATGTGGTTCTTTAGGACTGAGGAGAGTAAAAGAGAATTGAAAATCAACACATATAAATATGGCTTGCCTTCTAAATAATACCTGAGAAGGAAAATGGGTCATTTTTTGCTGTAACAAAACAGTGAAGGAATATTTGATATGGTACAATCCTGGACCACACCTCCAAACTGGATGCACTGTTTCCTGATGTGCATTGGAATAGGATTTAACCGGACCTATGGAGAACAAATCAGGCCCCTTGGACCTGAAGGGAAAGTGGAACATTTTCGGATTCTCTCTCTGAGAAGCTCCTTAGGTAACTTACAGTAAATATTACAAGAGCTTAGTTGTGTAATGACCCTCCATGGTGCTTACTCATTGATCCTGGACACCTAGAAGACCAGCAGCCTCCCTGACAAAACTAGAAAGTCAGCGCCTGCTGTCTAATCCCATGGTGGGATTTCGCTTATCACTTTCTCAACAACAGATCAATTTATAAAGTACGTGCTATTTTTAACCCAACACATAGTTCAGAAGACACACTTACACTTCTTAAGTCAGAACTAATTCACTTGGAATTTGTGATTATTCATCTCTCTAGAAACTGAACTAACATTTGCACTGTCTATAAAGAGTGAATTTACCAAACTAAGCATGAAAACAATATATATAATGGGATTAGTCGGGATTCTTAAGTCACCAAGACTTTTCAAGAACTCATATGCTTGTGTTGCCTGGGTGGCTCAGTCGGCTAAGCGTCTACCTTCGGCTCAGGTCATGATCTCGGGGTCCTGGGATTAAGCCCTGTGTTGGGCTCCTTACTAAGTGGGGAGTCTGCTTCTCCCTCTCCCTCTACCCCTTCCCCTGCTTGTGCTCTCTCCCTCTCTCAAATAAATAAATAAAATCTAAAAAAAAAAAAAGAACTCATATGCATTTTTACCCACACAAAATGCTGATGATAATTGATTAATCATTGAAGAAGAATGATTTAGTGAATGATTGAAGAGAAATAATAAAGGATATAAATAATCCCCTGACCTCTAGCTCAAGACAAATATAGAGTTCTGTAGAATAAAGGTGGGTTTTTCTGGGAAGCGTGGGGCTTTATCACTGATGCCCAAGTCACTGAGTAACTCCTGTGTTCTCAGAAGCAGGAAGAGCAGGCTGGGATGGATGCACCTACCTGTCCTGGGCAAGCAATAGGGCCGTCAGGGTGGAGATCACTGTTCCCACACAGCCATTGAGAGCCCACCAGGGATTCTGGACCAGGAGTCCCACCAGAATCAGGATTCCACTGATGGGGTTGCTGACAAACACCACTTGGGATATGCCCCGAAGAACCCAATCAACGAACTGGAGCACCTGTGGTTTGTCTGGAAGAGATGAGATGGGCAGAGCTAAGGAAGTGACAAGTCAAGGTGCTCCTTTCCATGCCCAGTGCCCACCCTGAGTAAAATCATCAAAATCCCCTCTGATAAAGGTGAAACTAATTTGTGATATTCCTGGAAGCTTTTTCCCTCTGAGCCATTTCCCCTTTAGTTGTACCCAGATCCCTGAAAACCTCCAGTTTCTTTATGCTCAACCCACACTGCCCTTACTAGAATCTCCACTGCAGAAAGCACTGAATGCACTTATTTACCATGCTCAGAGGTACAGACTCTTAAGCTAAAGAAATGAATTACCAATAGTAAAACTTTAGTTTTTAAGTACTGAAATTATGGGATGGAGCCAGGTGCTTTCCTCTAATATGAATAGGTCCCTGGCCCTAAGCACTAGCTCCATAAAAGAATATTTGAAGAGGCTTGCAGGTTAGAAGATAAAAAATTAGGGGCACCTGGCTGGCTCAGTCGGTAAAGCATGTGACTCTTGATTTCAGGATTGTAAATTTGAGCCCCATGTTTGGTATTGAGATTACTTAAAAACAAAATCTTGGGGCACCTGGGTGGCTCAGTGGGTTAAGCATCTGACTCTTGATTTTGGCTCAGGTCCCGATCTCAGAGTTGTGGGATCAAGCCCCGCGTCAGGCTTCATGCTCAGTGGGAAGTCTGCTTGAGATTCTTTCTGTTCCTCTGCCCCTCCTCCTGCTTGTGCTCTCTCTTTCTCTCGCAAATAATAAATAAATAAATCTTTAAAAAAATAAATAAAATCTTTTAAAAAAGACAAAAAGTTAAAAACTGGAGAGGAGAGAGATCAATAGAAGGCAGGGGACTGTAATGAAAGATACAAGTAGAAGAACCAGCAAGCCATTTCCCCCAAAGCTACTTCCCCCATCTCTCCAAGGGATGGAAACATAAATACCTTTAAGCCAGCTGGCAAATTCTTTCATATCACCGGTGACGTAGCCAAGTGCCTTGGGGAGGTACCTTCTTCTTGGACTTGGTAAAACCTGATTTTCACCCTGGTCCATTTTAACCATAGTGGGACTATCCTCCATGGTTATCTCTTCCTCTGGCTCCTTGAGGAAAGGATAGAGCTCATAAACATCCTAATGCAGAACACTTCAGACTGGCTAGCACTGGGCCTGGTTGCAGTAGCCACGGAGGATGAGTTAAAAAGCACTTCATTTGTATCATGACATCCCAGGGGACTAAAAAAGCACCAATTTCCTCTTGAACCATTGTCATGGAGATTATTACCCAAATCCTAATCCCATACTACTTTTGTCATCACTGTCTTTAATGCTACCATGAGAAGGTTCTGGCCTTGAGTTTCATAAGGTCCAGTTTCTAATTCAACAAAAATCCACAGAACACCTACATCCTACAGTAAAAGAGCTCAGTCTAGTGGAAAAGACTGAAAAATATTTAATTTCAACATACTGACTGAAATAATAATACAGGAAGAGCTAAGACCAAGTACTTAAGATTCAGGCTGTCGGCCAAAGGAGCCAGATGTTAGGTTACAGAATGGCACTCACAAATGCAGATCAAACAGCTACTTCCCAAGATGAGCAGCCTTTTTTTTTTAAATTAAGTTTTTACCTTTAATTCCAATATAATTAGCAGAGTGTTATGTTAGTTTCAGGTATACAATATGGTGATTCAACAATTCTGTACATTACTCAGTGCTCATCAGGATAAGTGTGCTCTTAATCCCCTTCACCTATTTCACCCATCCCCCCACCCATCTCTCCTCTGGCGACCATCTCTTTGTTCTCTACAGTTAAGAGTCTGCTTTTGGTTTGTGTCTTTTTCTTTCCTTTGTTTGTTTTGTTTCTTAAATTCCACATATGAGTGAAATCATATGGTATTTGTCTTCTCTGATGTACTTCACTCAGCATTATGCTCTCTAGCTCAATCTATGTTGTTGCAAATGGCAAGATTTCATTTGTTTTCATGACTGAATAATATTCCTTTGTATATACCCCACATCTTCTTTTGACACCTGGGCTCCTTCCATAATTTGGCTATTGTAAATAATGCTGCAATTAACATGGGGGTTCATATGTTCTTTCAAATTAGTGTTTTTATATTCTTTGGGTAAATACCAAGTAGTGTGATTACTGGATCATAGGGTAGTTCTATTTTTAATTTTTTGAGGAACCTCCATACTGTTTTCCACAGTGGCTGCATTACTTTGCGTTCCCACCAACAGTACATGAGGGTTCCTTTTCCTCCACATCCTCACTAACACTTGTTGTTTTTTCTGTTTTTGAGTGTAGCTATTCTGACAGGTGGGAGGTGATATCTCATTATGGTTTTGATTTGCATTTCCCTGATGATGAGTGATGTTGAGCCTCTTTTCATGTGTCTGTTGGCCATCTGAATGTCTTCTTTGGAGAAATGTCTGTTCATGTCTTCTGCCCATATTTTTTAATTGGATTATTTGGGGGCGGGTGTTGAATTATGTAAGTTCTTTATACATTTTGGATACTAACCTTTTATCCATTATATCATTTGCAAATATCTTCTCCTATTCGGTAGGTTGTCTTTTAGTTTTGTTGATTCCTTTGCTGTGCAGAAGCTTTTTTTTTTTGGATGTAGTCCCAGTAATTTATTTTTGCTCTTATTTCCCTTACCTCAGGAAACATATCTAGAAATATCAGTGTCAGAGAAATTCCTGCCTCTTCTAGGATATTTATGGTTTCTGGTCTCACATTTAGGTCTTTAAGCCATTTCGAGTTGATCTTTGTGTATGGTGTAAGCAAGTGGTCCAGTTTCATTCTTTTGCATGTAGCTGACCAGTTTTCCCAACATCGTTTGTTGAAGAGACTGTCTTTTTTCCTATGGCATGTTCTTGCCTCTTTTGTTGAAGATTAACTGATCATATAATTGTGTGTTTTTCCCTAGGCTTTCTCTCCTGTTCCATTGATTTATATGTCTGTTTTTGTGTCAGTACCATACTGTTTTGATTACTACATCTTTGTAGTATAACTTGAAATCTGAAATTGTGATGCCTCCAGTTGTTTTTTTTTTCTTTTTCAAGGTTGTTTTGGCTATTCTGGGTCTTTAGTGGTTCCATACAAATTTTAATATTATTTGTTCTAGTTCTGTGATGAATGCTCTTGGTATTTTGTTATCAGTTGCATTAAATCTGTAGATTACTTCGGGTAGTATGGACATTTTAACAATATTTGTTCTTCCAATCCATGAGCATGGAATATTTTTCCATTTGTTTGTATCATATTTAATTTCTTTCATCAATATTTTATAGTTTTCAGAGTACAGGTTTTCCACCTCCTTGGTTAAGCTTATTTCTAGGTATTTTATTATTTTTGGTGCAATTGTAAATGGGATTGCTTTCTTAATTTCTCTTTCTCTTGCTTCATTATTGGAGTATAGAAATGCAACAGATTTCTGTACATTAATTTTGTATCCTGGGATCTTACTAAATTCATTTATCAGTTCTAGCACTTTTTTGGTTGGGTCTTTAAGGTTTTCTATATATAGTATCCTATCATCTGCAAATAAAGTTTTACTTCTTCCTTACCAATTTGGATGCCATTTATTTCTTTTTGTTGACTGATTGCTGTGGCTAGGACTTCCACTACTATGTTGAATTAAAGTGATGAGAGTGGACATCCTTGTCTTGTTTCTGATCTTAGGGGGAAAGCTCTCAATTTTTCGCCGAGTATGATGTTAGCTGTGGGTTTTTCAATGTGGCCTTCATTATACTGAGGTATGTTCTCACTAAATCTACTTTGCTGAGAGTTTTTATCATGAATGGATGTTGTCCTTTGTCAAACACTTTTTCTGCATCTATCGAAATAATCATATATTTTTTTATCCTTTCTCTTACTGATGTGATGTACCATGTTGATTGATTTTTTGAATACTGAGCCACATTTGCATCCCAGGAATAAATCCCACTTGATTGTGGTGAATGATTTTTTAAATGTATTGTTGGATTTGGTTTGCTAGTATTTTGTTGAGGACTTTTGCATCTATTTCCATCAGAGATATTGGCCTGTAGTTCTCTTTTTTGTAGTGTCTTTATCTGGTTTTAGTATCAGGGTAATATGGGCCTCCTAAAATGAATTTGGAAGTTTTCTTTCCTCTTCTATTTTTTGGAAGAGTTTAAGAAGAATAGATATTAACTCTTCTTTAACTCTTTGGTAGAATTCACCCATGAAGCCGTCTGGTCCTGAACTTTTGTTTGTTGGGAGTTTTTGATCACTGATTCAATTTCATTGCCCATAATCAGTTCGTTCAAATTTTCTATTTCTTCCTGACTCAGTTTTTGGAGGTTATATGTTTCTAGGAGTTTATCTGTTTCTTCTAGGTTGTCCAGTTTGTTGGCCTCTAGTTTTTTGTAGTATTCTTTTACAATCTTTTGTATTTCTGTGGTGGTAGTTGTTATTTCTCTTCTTTTGTGATTTTGTTTATTTGAATCCTCTCTCTCTTTTTTTCTTGATGATTCTGGCTAAAGGTTTCTCAATTTTTTTGCTCTTTTCAAAGAACCAGCTCCTGGTTTCATCAGTCTGTTCTTTTGCTTTTTAAATTTCTACATCATTTATTTCTACTCCAATTTTTATTATTTCCTTCCTTCTACTGATTTTGGCTTTTGTTTGTTCTTCATTTTCTAGCTCCTTTAGGTGTAATGTTAGGTTGTATTTGAGATTTTTCTTGCTTCTTGACGTAGGCCTGTGTTGCTATACTTCCCTTTTAGAAATGCTTTTGCATCCCTAAGATTTTGGACTCTTGTGTCTTCAGTTTCATTTGTTTCCATGTATTTTTGGATTTAATCTTTGATTTCTTGGTTGATCCATTCATTGTTTAATAGCATGTTATTTAACCTCCATGTATTTGTGTTCTTTCCAGATTTTTTCTTGTGATTTCTAGTTTTATAGTGTTGTGGTCAGAAAAAAATGCATGGTATGACTTCAATCTTTTTGAATTTGTTGAGACTTGTTTTGTGGTGTAATATGTGATCTATTCTGGAGAATGTTCCATGAGCACTTTAAAAGAATGTGTATTCTGCTGTTTCAGGATGGAATGTTCTGACTATATCTGTTAAAATCTGTCTGATCCAATGTGTCATTCAAAGCCACTGTTCCCTTGTTGATTTTCTGTTTGGATGATCTGTCCATTGATGTTAAGTGGAGTGTTAACGTGTCCTACTATTATTGTATTAATATCAGTGATTTCCTTTATGTTTGTTACTAACTGTTTTAAGTATTTGGGTACTTCCATGATGGATGCATAAATATTTACAATTGTTATACCTTCTTGTTGGATTTTTCCCTTTATTATTATATAGTGTTCTTTTTTTTTGTCTCATTACTATCTTTATTTTAAAGTTTATTTTGTCTGATATAAGTATTGCTACCCCAGCTTTCTTTTCACATCCATTTGCATGATAAATGTTTTTCCATCCCTTCATTTTCAATCTGTACATGTGTTCAGGTCTGAGATGAGTCCCTTGTAGGCAGCATATAGATGATTCCCCTTCTTCTTCTTCTTCTTCTTCTTCTTTAATCCATTCTGCCACCCTATGTCTTTTGATTGGAGCATTTAGTCCATTTACATTCAAAGTAATTATTGATAGGTATGTATTTATTGCCATTTTGTTCCTAGTTTTATGGTTGTTTTGTAGTTCTTCTCTGTTCCTTTCTACTTTTGCTCTCTTCTCTCATGATTAGTTGGCTTTCTTTAGTGACATATTTGGATTCCTTTCTCTTTAATTTTGCATATCTATTACTGGGTTTTGATTTGTGGTAACCATTCAGTTTGTATATAACATCTTCTGTATATAGCAGTTTATATTAAGTTGATGGTCACTTAAGTTTGAACCCATTCTTTACTCCACTAGCCCCCATATTTTAGGTATGTGGTGTCATACGTTACATCCTTTTATTTTGTGAATCCTTTGACTGACTTTTACAGATATATTTATGTTTACTGCTTTTGTGCTTCCTACTTCCTTTCTCTTGCTTATGGTCCTTCCTTTTCACTCAAAGAGTCTCCTTTAATATTTCTTGTAGGGCTGGTTTAGTGGTCATGAATTTCTTTAACTTTTGTTTGTCTCAGAAGTTCTTTATCTCTCCTTCTACTCTGAATGATAGCCTTGCTGGATAGAGTATTCTTGGCTGCAGATTTTTTTTCCTTTCAGCACTTTGAATACATGATGCCACTCTCTTCTGGCCTGCAAAGTTTCTGTTGAAAAAGTAGCTGATAGCCTTACGAGGTTTCCCTTGTATGTGTTTTCTCTTCCTGCTTTTAAAATTCGCTCTTTATCACTACTTTTTGCCATTTTAATTACTATGTGTCATGGTGGGAACCTCCTTGGTTTGATTTTGTTGGGGGCTCTCTGTGCCTCCTGGATCTGGATTTCTGTTTCCTTCTCTAGATTTGGGAATGCTTCAGCTATTATTTCTTCAAATAAATTTTCTGTTCCCCTTTCTTTCTCTTCTTCTTCTGGATCCCTATAATGTGAATGTTATTATGCTTGATGGTGTTGCTGAGTTCCCTAAGTCTATTCTCATTTTTGCTTATTTTTTTCCCCCTTTTACATGCTTAGCTTGATTGCTTTCCTTTACTCTGTCCTCTAGGTCACTGATTCATTCTTCTGCTTCCTCCAGTGGTCTATTTATTCCATCTAGTGTATTTTTAATTTCATTTATTATGTTCTCATCTTTGATTGGTTCTTTTTTTTTTTTTATCTCATCATTAAGGGTCTCACTGATGTCCTCCATTCTTTCCTCAAGTCCAGTGAGTATCTTTATGATCATTTCTTTAAATTCTCTATCAGGCACATTATTTATCTCCATTTCACTTAGATCTCTTGCTGTGATTTTGCCCTGTTCTTTCATTTGGGACATATTCCTCTGTCTCCTCATTTTGTCTAAGTCTCTGCATCTGTTTCTCTGTGTTAGGAAAGTCAGCTGTGTCTCCCGCACTGGAAAGTAATGACCTTACGAAGACCATTGTAGTGCCCTGCAATGTTCACCAGAACCTGGTGCTCCGGTGGTGTCTTCTATGTGTGTTGTGCACACAGTTGTTGTGTCTGAGCTGCTTTTTCCTTCAGTCCAGTCATCTGCAGTGACCTTCTTTGCCTCTTGTGGCCAGGGTTTGGTCTTGGTATTAATAGTGGGATAATCTTCGATGCCTTGGGTTTGAGCTGAGTCAGGCCAGGCATTTGCCAGAGATGCAGTAGCACCGAACCTCAGGCTGTTCTCCCTGTCTTGTCTTCTGAGAAGCTTTTGTTGGTGTGCAGGGCCTGCACTCAGGCTTGATGTCTTCCCCGAGCCCACTGTGGGGGCTGCAGGCTGACTGGTGTACATGGTTCTCTTCCCCTCTCCCTGGGACAGGACTCACTTTGGAGTGGTGCTGGTCCCTGTTGGGGCTGCTTGCACCCTGCTAAGCCTGTGGCACTGTCCTGAATTGGCTCTGAGCAAAAGGGGCCCCTCCGCAGTGCTGGGACTGGGGCAGGTTTGTCTGGAGGGGGCGGAGCAGTGGGGAAGCAGTATTAGCAAGTTCAGTAGAGAGTATCAGCAACGGCTGGTTCCTCCTGCAGGTGTCTGTGTGATTATGCTGGGGGGAGTGGGAGGGAAATGGTGTCTGCCAGCTCCTTTCTTCCTGGAGGAGTCCCCCATTGATCTCTGTCCCTCCAGGACATGCTCTGAGATGAGTAAATAACTCTCCCTCCTGTATGCCCCAGGAATTTTTCAAACTGCTGTTTTTATGTTGTGTCTCCATGGGGCTGTTTGTTGTGCTGTCTCTTTAAGCGAGCCTGGGGTCTCAACTTCCTCTCTCCCTCTCTGCTCTCCTAGAGCCAAGCCCACTGATTTTTAAAATTTCAGGTTTTAAGTCCTGCTATTTGTGAGAACTCACGAAATTCAGTCCCTCTGGTTTTTAAAGCCAACCGTTATGGGGATTCATCCTCCCAGTGTGGGTTCCCTGCTGTGGGGGTCTGTTCTCTCCCCTCTCCAGGCGTGCAGCTTCCTCCTGATGTGGACCAACCTGTGGGTCGTTGGCTCCTGAGCGCATCTTCGCCCTTTCTACCCTCTTCGATGTGACCTCTTCTCTACCTTTAGTTGTGGAGTTTGTTCTGCCAGTCTTTGGATCGTTTTCTGGGTTCTTTACACTGATGTGAGTGTTATCTGGTTGTATCCATGGGACGAGGTGAGCTTAGGGTCCTCCTACTCTGCCATCTTCCCCAGAAGTCCCAAGCAGCCTTTTTAAATTAAGTTTCTATTTTACAAAAACAGTTTTGTTTTTAAAGGTTTGACAAGGCAGAATTATTTACAAAATGATCTCTGTGTGCTGACACAGCCTAAGTAAAGCCCCTAACAGATACTCTCCAAGTCAAAGGTTGCTTGAATATGTCCCCACATTGGGCAACTGCCTCAGATATTCTTTATTTTTACAATTGGTTATTTAAATGTTTAAAAACAGTCATGAATAATATTCTATAAGGTATAGGAGCTAGAAAAGGTAAAAGTGAACCAAGCTATTGAAAACCAAAAAGCTGTCATCTAAGAATTGTACAATATAAGAATATACAAGATATGGTTATAGTAAGCATGCCTCAGAAAAATACTAATATAACTGTGACTTGGGTTCACTACAAGACTCTTCACTTCTCATGATAACAGTGTGATAGGAAAGCACCAACATCATCAGAATGGTACCCTCTAGACAAAAAGGAAGTTTTCACAGTGCCAATGGTAGATACAAAAGAATATCAATGATGTAATCCCAGAGGGAGGCAAAGGGAGAAAGACATCGGCAAACCACCTTGAGCATGCAGGAAGTGCCGAGAGCACATCCAGGTAAGTGTGGAGTAGGAAAACATCAAAACTCTCAGACCCCAGAAAGCACCAGTGGAAAGCTGAAGCCACAGGCATAGAAGACACACCCCAAATCTATGCAGATAAACGAACCCATCTCCCTGGGGCCAGGCTGTGAATAGGGGGCTCTCACAGACAGTTTTGGCCCCAGCCTTGTTGCATTTATCATAGCCAACGAACACCTATTAAGAGATAATAAAGTTATGCCTTTTTAAAATGTTTAGTTTTTGCAATCCTGACTCTAGTTTGGGCTTCTATTAATCCCAGTACAAAAATCAATGTGGGTAGCTGATTTTTTAATCGAGTAGCCACCATACTTCAATTGCATTATTTCACCACCCAACTAAGTGTCCTGCTTTTAAACAATGGCCAGCCATTAATCATTACACAAAGCAGAAGCTATTTATGCAATGAATTCTAGACCAAGCTCATTTCGTCTTGGCCAAACAGTGTTACACACCTGCACTTGTGAGATTGCCCTTGAACCTTGGCATTAAGAAATTCTTTTTTTTTTAAGATTTTATTTTTATTTTATTATTTGAGGGTGAGAGACAGAGAGAGCGCAAGTGTGAACATGAGCTGGGAGAGGGGCAGAGGGACAAGCAGACTCTCGGCTGAGCTGGGCGCCCGACGTGGGGCTCAATCTTAGGACTCTGGGATCATCACCTGAATCAAAGGCAGATGGTTAACCAACTGAGCCATCCAGGCTCCCTGGCATTAAGAAATTCTTAAATTGAAAACTGCTGGAGGTCAGGAACCAAAACTTAGGCTGTAGGGAGCTCAGCTGGACCCATAGTGAAACATGGAAAACGATTCGAATTTTAAGCAATTACGAAAAACTACATTTTATAAATAATAGCTAATGATAGCTATCATTTATTTTCATATATCTTCCTCTTTAAATCTCATAACTGACAACATTGCTCAGTAAGCTCCTTCCTCAGCTCCAGTGACCCATTTGTAAAGCAGGACCAATTTATGAGACACGACGGCGAGAGGCTCAGACACAATTGCTTTGAGTTTCTATAACTGAGTAGATCTGTTCCTACAGAGGCAGCATTGAATGAAAACATGACAGTTTTTCCATCAACTACAGAAACAATAAAGTGTATAGGTTATTTCAGGGTGAACAAATTCATGTTCTCGAAATTTCCAGCATATATTTACTTATTTTAGAGGGTTTTAAATACACCATCAGCTCAGAGATTTTGGAGATACAGATGCCAAACCCAATACTATAACTGGTCAGACATGATCTAGAACCTGCTTGGCCTGAGCTCCTTGCCGAGCCTCCCAAAGTGAAAGACTGAGTTATTTTTGTCAGGAGTCCACAGCCCAGCATATAGAAGAAGGCTTATTGTGATTTGTCTCCCTAGTACCTGCGTGTTGGGATGGTTTGTCAGGGTGCCATGCCCAAGAGAGAGGGCTCCTCTCCCAGGGTAAGCAGACGGTGCTGTGGCAGACCCCGCCCACGAACCATTTATTCTGAACTACTGAACATTTCCAGAGCCCTTCAGATCCTGAAGACTTGCTCCAGAACTCAGGCAGGAGAACTGGTTATGAGAAACCAGTAACTTCAAGGTTGTAGTTCACCCTAGAATTTTATCACACGTGACTATTTGCAGTTCTTTGGAGAACTTTAAGAATTCTGATCAGGAAGGCAATGCAGCCGGGGACTTCTACTGATGCTCAGATTTCTCAAATCTAAGTCGGTCATTAAATTTAACTAAAAACACAAGAAAATAAAGGGACGAAGCTCTAAATAAGTAGCAGCAGGGTAAGATTAAAACCCCAGACTCCTTTTTCCTAGGTTTTGCACTGTTCTCAAAACTCAGTAGTTCAGTCTTACCCAAGTTGAGTGCTGTGTGACTTTCAGGACCAAGACTCCCGTGCATCCCGCTGCCCCTCAGCAGAGCATGAGGACCCCACTTCCCGGGCTCTGTTCCGAAGAGACACACCAGAGCTTGGAGCGCAGGCGCCCACGTTCTCGGAATCAGAGGCTGCACCGAGGGAGCATACCTGATCCGGGGGCCCCTGTGCTGGGGCCATGCTGAGCCCGGCGAAGCCTCTGAGCGCGGCCTCCCCAGCCTTATCTCCACAGGGGTCCTTCCAAAGACGACCACTAGGGGCATCACCAGCGCGGCAACCAAAGACTGTCCATTCATCCTTCCTCTCTCTCCATACTTGACAAAGGGCAAAAAGACGTCAATCAGCAGGATGAGCACGCGGAAGGCAGGATGGAGTGAGGCAGGAGTGCCCCCAGTGGGGTCCTGGGGAGCAGAGCCGTGGCCCCAGATGGAGACCTCCAACAGAGAAGGCAGGCTTCTCCATCAGCAAGGAGAGACAGTGAGCTGACTACAGACACGGAACGTTCATTTTACTTTGCTTAAATAAAAGGAAAAAATGATAGCAAACCATCCTGCACAGAGACCAACGCACAGATTTTGTTCTGCTGCGTTTCTCTACCAGCGGGAGCTTGCAGATCTGAAGCCTGTCCAGAGGCAGGGGTGGGCTTCAGGCTCTGACATGCTTCAGGCAAACTGTTAGGGGACCAATACCAATGCAACAATTTCCCTCAGCCTTGTTCTTTACAAATAGGAGAAGAAGGCATGGGGTGGGCTCTATTTTCTGAAATAAGATAAAAGCCACACTCTTAATGCACAGCAAGAGCCCAGTCTGAGAGCCTGCTGAATGGCATTTTTTCTTGTATCAGAGCAAGAATTGTTAAATATTGGATATCACCTTGTTAATAAAAAACAATTCTTAGTTGAATTCAACAGGTGTGGGAACTTTTTGTAAGTTTTATTTTTTAAAAAAAAGGTCCACTGCATCCAAGGATATCATTCTTCTTTCAGAAGTTGCAGAAAAATTGTGTATATGTGGTATTTTTTTTGTCCCTCCTTTATTTAATTTTTACTTTCTTCTACTCGTTTGATTTGAAAAATCCACAATTGTGGAAAATACTATTGACATGTCTCAGGAAAAAAAAGGTGTGTGTATGTGTTTATCCATGGTTAAATTATTTGGCTAGTTAAGTACCAACAGAAGTGTCTGTGGGTTGCATTATGTATTTTTGTTTGTTTGTTTGATAAAGAACAGCATTAAGAAAAACCAGTGGTAGGACTCTCATCTTATTTGCAGTTAAAAAAAAAAGAAAGAAGAAAGAGACAAGCAGGGACTGTCATGTTCCCTCCGTGTAGGTGTTTACACCTTTGGCCCCTGCATACCCCCTCTTTCCCCCCACCACCCAAACACACACATTTAGGAGGACAATATCCTTGAGCTCACCATCATATTTTCTTTTTTTTTTTTTTTGGCAGGGATAGCACCGTTTATTAAGAAAGATCAAGACAAAGACCACAGGAGGGTCCCTTCTAGGACACGGAGTCCAGGCGTCCTGACCCCACATCTGCGGGCTGCTGGTGGGGAGGGCACGTGCCCCCAGATGGGCCCTTGGGCTCCCCACAGATGGGGCAGGGCTGTCATGTCCCCTTCCTGTCCCTCCCAGGCGTGAGTCCTGGCATCCCCCACCCAAGGCACTAACTTTTCAACCACCAGTGCCCTCCTCCCCCCATGTCCCCTGGGCCACCATCATATTTTCTTAGAGCCCAGAGAGAAACATTTGAGAGCTAGGTGAGGTTGTAAAGAGCACACAATTTAAGCCTTCACTTTATAGAAGAGAAAACTGAGGTTCAGAGTGGGGACCATCCAAGTCTCCTCGGCAGAGTGAGCTTTATGCAACAGGGAAGCTGTGGTGGTTCTTTGTCTTCTTGGAGCCAGGCACATTAATGCCACCCGAGATTCTATTCAAGTAAACAGTGAAGGAGCAGCTCCTGAGTGATGGGGTCTGCAGTGTGCGTCAGGGCTCAGTGACAGAGCGCACACAGGCTGTCTTCATGGCTGGCTTGAAATAACCCTGGGTGGGGGCGAACAACAACCAAGGGCCCCGTCACCCCCACTTTCACCTTATGTCCTAGCTGGAAGCAGGAACTCTTCTGACGAACAGACATGTACCTCAAAGTGAGTCTCGTTCTTTTGTATCACTGACACATCCACAACAAACCTGCATGTGCTAAAGTGAACATCCCAGGAATATTCTAGAAGCTGCACCTAGTGAGCTTTCCAGCAGGAGTCAGAAAGCACATTTCATAACCCAAATCACTTGTGAAACGAAGCAGTACTTATTCTAATGTGAGGCAATATCAAGATTTCAATTCAACCAGCATTCCCTATTTGATTACATGCAATAAAACTCAGTGTACATTAGAAATCTGTGCAATTGGAGAGACCCGAAAGTCTTCAATTTTCTGTGGCTCAAGCATCACTTTAAAAAAATAATACAAAGTTTTGGATACAGATATAGAGGAAAACATTTAAACATTCATGCTCTATCATGAAGAGAATTTAAGCATTGACATTTATTTGGTACTTACGATAATCTTTATTTTGGGTGGGTTTTGGTTCCAAGCGGTAGGAGGTGCTCAGTTTTCTTTAAGCAGAAACAAAGACAATGCTGTTGGGTATTCCTATCTCCTGATGAAAACACTTCTGTCCTCAGAAGGCACCACTCCTAGAAGCCTTGGGGTCTGAATTCCACACCAGAAAATGCGGCTGCAAAGAAGCTGCCAGGGGTGGACACCAGGTTCTCCCGGTGGGTAGCAAGCACACTCCCTTCAGCAAGATGGCGCATTCAGGGTGGGGCGCAGAGCCATATTTGAAAGGGCCATTCCCCGAACCCCGCTTTTTTGGAGTCATACTGATATGTCCCCAACTTCACTCAATTATTTCACAAACACAGTTTGAAACCCCTCTCCAGCACTGATGAACCCCGAGGCATTTGGCACATAAAGTGGACTCCTTGCTCGAACTCCTCTTGCACACGGAGCTCAGGAGCTGCTCCCACCCAGTTTCAGAGATTGTGAGCAAAGACATGGCTTGCAGGCTTCTAGGAAGAAGCCCGTGGCTTTGGGAAATTGCTTTCCTGCCTCCCAGGACTCTGACTTTGCTGCTTCTACTCAGTTGCAGCCATCTGAGGCATATTCCTCCATTAAAAAAGAAAAACAGGGTGAAAGAGCAACAGTTAGGAGTAAGCACACAAACTGGCAACAGTGGACAGTTGGAAATGAATAGAACTGAGGAGGGTACTCACGCTGCGGCTGGTTGCCCGGCGGCAGAAGGCACTGGCTGATAAAGCGCTGCTGGGCTCTCGTAAAAGGCAGGGTGCTTAGGAGCAGATAGTGCTGGGAGGAGGCACCTAACAGTTTTATACTCAGAACCCCGTGCGGCATTCCCATGCCCTCGGCTTTCTCCTCCCACTTCAGGAGCTCCGGCCAAAGCATTGCCAGTCCCCTGTCCTGCACCTGCTGTCTGTCTGTCTGTCTGTCTTCCTCTCTCTGTCTCTCGCTGCTGATGTTTCTCTTCCTCTCCTTCTCCCCGTCCCCCCCTTCTTGATTTGGTGCCAGAAGCTTTGCCGTCTTTCTACATTGTTCCAAGGTCTGTACCCAGGGAAAATCCTGCAAGTTCCTCTTTTTCTTCTCCTTGCTATTCTGAAACTACCCTCACCCTGAAATATTTTGGAGAATATTTGTAACTAAAAAAGATCAACGTAGTATCACTTAAAACTAAAAACTGAGGGTCAAGTTGCTACACAGCTCCCGGCCTGGAAATTTCTCATTTTCTCTCAGACTCCACACAGCTTCTGTCCAGGCGTAAGAATCCAGCAAAGTCCTGAGGGGTGTGGTGTGAGGGTGGGGAGGGCAAGGGGAATGCAGTTCATGTTCTGGAAACCAACCTGCCCTTTTTCCCAGTAAGGAGGAAACAAACATATAAATGTTTCCCCAAAATGTCCTTCTTTCCAGGTGAGGATCCCAGGACAAACACTGCTGCCTTTGAATGGACGGGAGACAAACATTCCACAGCAGAGGAGTCTAAGATTCAAGTGAAAAATCCATTTCTTTCCCCATTCTTCTTAAAATTCAGTTTTGTGGCTTGCTCGGTGATGGCAGGACTCTAACTAACTCACGTGCACTTCCTGGAGCGCAGAATTAAAAAAAATAAATAAATAAAAGCAAAAACCACACAACCCACAGGGAGATGTGCAGATGTCATGGTCTTTTATCTGGACCTCCCGCCTCCTGGAATTGCTGATAGCTCTTGTCAGAGGTCCCCAAGGCAGCCACGACTCGCTGGCTCCCCCCATTGGACACTTAGGAAACCACAGGGTCCCCTGTTTCAGGCTGTGTGTGTCACGGGCCTAGGAGGGAGGCCAGAGGTCGGGGTTCATGATTACAGTTCTGAGCTTCAGGGAAATCTCCCTCCAACATTTTGTCCTGGTAAAATAAGGCAAAAATAAGCTCCTAGGTTACCCTGAAAGAGAAAAATGAATCATAAGAGGATAGCCAGAGGGCCTGGTAGGGGAATGAAAGGAACCATACCGGTTTCCAGGAGTTTCTTAGGCAAATGGGCTACCATCCCTATACCATAGCAAGAAGAATGATCATGATAAGAACGGCACAAGCGGTTGAGGGTTCACTGTATGTGCAGAGCACTGTGCAAACCAATTTATTCCCGTCAGTCCTTCAACCATTGCAAAAGTCCTATGACGGCAAATGCCATTACCCCTGTTTTGCAGATAAGGAAACTGAGGCTCACAGAGTTTAAATAACTTGTCCAAAGCCTAACACCAAAGTTTGTACTTCGATGCCCTTCAGCACCGTCCAATATTTCCAGCTGCTGATCCTTGTTTGCCTTTCATCAGCTCACTGATTAACTTAATCAACTCGGCCATCCACAGGTTGTTAGAGACCTCATCCTGAAGCCACCTCCACACGGCACACATGCAGCCTCCTGCCTCAGTGGCCCTGGTCAGGACTGGGTCTCACGTCTTCTTGGCAAAACGACCTCCCCCTCCACCCTAGTCTCCCCATCCTCTCTGCCAGTCCCTGCAAAGTCGCCCCAGAGGGGCCGCTCACAAAAGGCAGCCCTGCTAGGGGCTGTACTCGAGATTGTGCTGGCACGTGGGCTTCTGAGTCAGACGGACCTGAGCTTGAATCCTTACTTGGTCCGTTCCTAGATGTTTTCCCTTAGGTATGTGAGCTACCCTTTCCGAGACTCAGATTCCTCCCTCTAACGTGGGGTAGGTTTCCTTCTTTTATATGGATGTGAT